AGGGCCGAGGAGGAGAGCCCCGGGCCGGGCCACACCGGCCGCCGGGGAGGAGCCGAAGGCCGGGAGGGGAGCGGGAAGGAGTCCTCGCCCGGCCGCCGCCGAGCTCGCCCTGGTCCACTATTGTGCATCCGGAAAACCGAACCGCGGCGGCGGGCAGAGGAGCTGCAAGCCCCCTTGGTGGCCGGAGCAAGACTTTTTTTGGGTTTTTGTTTGTGAAGAGCAAGTTTTCGAATTAATCTCATACTTTGGCAGTCTTTGTTAAACAGCTAGACACGTCACGAAGCTCTCGAACATTTTAATAATTTTTAGACGCCGTGACCTGCGGTTCACCCTTCTCGGGCCTCCCCCACGAGCAGGCAGTTACTATAATATGCTCGCGCAGTCCGTTCGGTCATATTGAATTTTGCGCAGGTCATTGGGAGAAAAAATGACAGAGTAAGGAATTTGATTCAGCTCATCCTCTCCAGCTCTACTTTTTGCCAGAACCTTCTCTTTCCCTTCACCCAACCCCCAGACCCTAATAGTCCCATTCGGATAGGACTCAGCCCGGCCCCGCCTCCGCTTTGATACGCCATCATTCCTATATTTTTTGTCAGCTCCGGTGCCCGGGCAAAGAGGGAGAGGGTAGGACATCAAAGAGTTCCCTTTATGGCTGGCACCTGAAGAAGTGGAAATGTGGGGATCTGGGTTCCAGTGAGCAGGCCTGAACCAGAGCCCCCTTCCCTCCTGCCTCCCCTATAAATGGCTGCACTGGCAGAGCCAGTATTCCCACCCACACTGTCCACCCCATCTGCTTTATTCCCTCCTCCAATGTCAGAGAAACACCCCTTTCTGCCAAAACTTTGGAGGCTTCAGGGCCCCAGGAATGACCGCTTCACCTCCTGGCACTGAGATTTGGCCAGCAGATTTGGGGAAGACAGAGAGAATCCTGAGAGAGGGACTGAACTGCACTCGTCAAAGCTGGGGACTTGGCTTTCAGAGGTTTTAATTCTCCTTTAAAAATCAAACAACATCCTCCCCACCTCCATTTTTGCTTAAAACGACTTTTCATCTGTACAGTAACTCCTTTGCTTACCCCAGCACCACCACAAGGAAGTTCAGAAGCAAACCAAAAAGGTGTTAAAAATACTTAAGAGATTTTCTTTGGTTTGTCCCTCCAGGATTAGAAATGGGTGGACTGCCAAAAACACATTTCCCCTTTTCTCCAGCCTCCAAGGAACCAGAAGAATTAGGTCAGGTGACTCCCCTTCCACCCAGTTCAGATCTAGGGAGTGTCTGCTAGGGGGTATCCCTCTAGCACCGGCAAGTCTGAGACTGCGTCTCAAGGCACCCAGCTTGGCCTGGGCTGGCAGAGGACTCCCTTTCCTCATTCTGAGGCCCCTCCAGCCCAGGACCTTGGGCTGCTCCAGTCTATCCCACAGAACCATTAATTTACTAATATTCTGTCCTGGAATGTAGGAAAAAGAGACTGAGTAGGAACAGAAAGAGATAGATTCTCTGGTTTAGGCTTTGACCTCTACCTCCTCTGGACCCCAGGAATTCCTTACTGGCCTGACTCCCCAGAAGAATTTGCCAACTGAATAGAAATGAGAACTCTAGTTGTTTTAGATGAAGACGGGGGTCAAATTAATTTGAAATTTGACATTAAACCGTGTGTCTTCTGGCCATATTTCAAAAGACATCTTTATGAAAACTCAGGTTATCTTTATCCTGGAAGGACAAACACCCAGAGTGTACCTCCTATATTAAATGCTTAGAAGAGAATATGATGACATCTCATAATGCAGCAAACAGTCATTTAAAGCCCCAAAATAAGCATATGCACTGGTTTTATAATTACAGAGTCTCTCTAAGCATTTTACTTATGAGCTAAGCTTAATGCATGGATTCAAGGTTCATTTCAGGTCGCCTGTTTCAATTCCAATTACAAAGATCTCTGTGAGGCCATTCAGTGTTTTTCCTTCTGATTTCCTCTCCCTCCTTGAAATAGGAAGAGAGGGAATCTGGATGAACATACAAATGTAGGTTGGGGAGACAGTGAGAGAATTAAGCTAACCTTTCGATATCCAAATTCTTAAACCCAAGCAATTTGGAAAGAGGGATGGGAGTTTTTAAACTCCTTCCAGTCCTGGCCCACGGTCATGGGCTCCAGCTGCCTGGACACAGCCTGGGGGTTAGGAATCGCTGAAAAACAGGCCTGTCTGAGGGAGGGGGAGTTGGGGAAGTCAGCTGTTTGGCCCCTTTAGGGGAAGCCTGGTGGAGCTGATGTTGGTT